GGCCGGGCCCTGGCTCAGCAGGGCGGACCCCTGACTCCTGCTCCGAGCCGCTGGCCGGCATAGAGGCACCAGGGCTGGGACTAGACAGGTGGGCAGCAGGACGCCGTCCCCGGGGGCTCAGCACACCCATGTGTCCCGCCAGCCGGTCAGCGGCTCCCAGGAGCTGGCTGCAAGGGGTGACGCCGTCCTGCCTCCATCAGCCACCGCGTCTGGTCAGGCGGCTGCCCGCTGTCCACCGCCAGCCTTTGCCTGCTGCGCTGCCTCCGAGAAGCCACCGCCTTCACCTCACAGGCCTGGCGGCTGGGCACCCGCCGGCAGGGCGCCCTGTCTCTCCCTGGGCGCCATCCAATGCCCAGCGGACAGTGGCGCCTGGGGACGGGGCGGCGGCTCCCAAGAGGACAGAGCACAGGGTAAAAGGTCTGGTTTGGCGGTGCGACACTCCACCTGCCACACAGGTGAGGCCGGGATGGCGCAGGCCCCTCCAACCTGCCCCCGCCGCGTCTCCTACAGAGGGAGGAAGCCCCGGGGGCTGGGGGCTCGCAGTGGCCTGCCCCGTACCTTCTGCACTGGAGGCCACCTGGGACCCCGGGGGGCTGTCCCCGAGGGGGGCAGCTGTAGATGACCTGATCCACTCTTGAGGGAAAGAAAGAAAGCAAGTTCAGTGGGGGGCGGGGGGTGGGCTGGGACACACTGAGCCTTGGCACCCCACTCTCTGGGCCCCTAGAAGCAGAGCTATGGGGAAGGCTCTGTCTGCACAGGCCAAGCGGAACTGCGTCCAGCTCTACTGGAGAGGTATGTCCACACGGCAGCGCGGGCGGAGGCCAGCGGCCCTGGCCAGAGCCTCTGCAAACCCTGGACAGCCCTCTCTGAAGGGGCCTGGTGCAGGATGCTTGATGTGGGGGGCTCCCGTGTGGCCCCCGTTCCCACTGCAGGGGAAGAGTTGGGTGGGCCCAGGCCTCTCCGGCTCTAGCCTCCGGCTAACGGCGGCCGGGTGGGGATCAGGGGCCCGGATGCTTCCTGCACAGCCTCACCCGGGACAGGTGCCCTCTGACACCGGGCGTGCTGCCCCTGGCCCGGCCTGGGCACCGGGGGGGGCCAGCCCCAGGCCCAGTGTCCGACAGGACGGGCGGCCGCAGCCGGAAAGCAGAACCCCGCTCCGCCCCCAACTTCAGAGGGCAGCCCCGACCCCGGGGAGAATCTGGTTTTCCGGATTACACTAAGGAAGGCTGGTGGGAGAGCAAGGAAACCTACCCCCGAAAAAGTGGGGGGGCTCTCCCAGCTGGCAGCCGGGAGCCTCTGCACCTCCGACTGACACTAACGGGGGTTCAACGAGGCAGGCGGCCTGGCCCGGGTCGGCGAGGGCTTCCTCAGGGCTGCGTAGAACCTGCCCGCTGGCGCGCTGGCCCGGGTCTGGGGCCTTCTCCCCCGCCTGGCCCTCCCCGGGAGCCCCGGGAGCTGGGTGCTTGCTGACAGGCTTCCTGGCCGGGCGCTGCCCACCGCGCCCTGCCTCTGGCCGGGGAGGATGTCCGCCCAGTTCATTGACCAGCTGGGCTCTGGCCGAAGACCCCTAAACACCAGAGCTTGCTGGGTGGGGCGGGAGCGTGGCGGCCGGGCTCTTCTGAGACCCCCGAGACTCCCCGGCGTGTGTGGACATTCTCGGGGTGGCCTGGCGGGGGCCAGCGGGTGCAGCCGTCTGTCCCGGGGTGGCCTCCGCCGGGCGTTCCAGGCCTGCCCACCCTTCCAGCCTGTTGTTTAAGCAGCTGCTTCTTCCTTTTCCTTCCAAACAGCTTTTTCCCCATAAAATCCAGCCCTGCTCACAGGCTCACCTGTGGGCCTCACCCGCCTCTGGGGCGGCAAGCCTGGGGGCTCAGGCACCACAGGCTTCAGCTCTGAAGGGGTGCTGGCCCCTGGCCTTCAGCTGTGAAGGGGTGCTGACCCTGGGGGCTGTCCTGGCCACTGGCTGCCACGCTGGACTCCTCAGCACATCTGCCAGCACTGGGCTCAGGATGCCAAACTGCCCACGACCTCGAGGAACGTCCGGCCTGGAGGGAGGGGTGCGCCTTCTCCTCTGGGGCTCTGGGGACCCAGGGGCTCCACTTACCTCTTACCTCCTGGCCAGGCCTCTGGCTCCTTAACACCCACCTTGGAGCCCCCTGCCCCCCAGCACCGAGTCGGAAGCAGCTCAAAGGCGGATGTGTGGTTCCCGTGGTGAGGCGGGGGCAGCTCGTCCGGCCTCCCCCAGACACACCCCTCTGCGGCACCCCCGGTCTGCCTGTCACAGGGTCAGCGGGGCAGGGGGCTCCCCCAGACACACCCCTCTGCGGCACCCCCGGTCTGCCTGTCACAGGGTCAGCGGGGCAGGGGGCTCCCCCAGACACACCCCTCTGCGGCACCCCCGGTCTGCCTGTCACAGGGTCAGCGGGGCAGGGGGCTCCCCCAGACACACCCCTCTGTGGCACCCCCGGTCTGCCTGTCACAGGGGCAGGGGGCTCCCCCAGACACACCCCTCTGTGGCACCCCCCACTGTGGCTGTCACAGGCTCAGCGGGGGGCACAGTCAGAGGCAGGGGCCCCAGCTCCCCCCAGCTCCCCACAGCCCTGTGCCCTGTCCTGGCAAGGGGCCTCCTGGCCAGCCCCTCACGCCTGCCGGGGCCTCCTGAGGGTGAGCAGGAGGAAGGCCAGGGAAGAGTGGGGACAGCCACCCTGGGTCCCCCAAGAACCACACAAAATGGCTGGGGGGGCAGGAGACTCCATGGAACTCACCCCGACTTGGAGAGGGCTGAGCGCCCCTCCCCCAAGGCCCAGGGGAGGCCCTGGCCGCGCTCACCCCCGAACGCCCAGCTGTTCTGAACCCTTTGGCCTGGGGAGTTTGCCTTCTCTGCTCACCCTGCTCCTCCCACCCGGGGTGCACTGCCCCCCACATCAGCAACAGAGGCGGGACACTGAGAAATGGGGGAGGAGGGGCAGCTGGGGGCCTCGGGCCATGCATGTGGTGGCATGGAAGGGGCAGGGGTCCCGGGCCACAGGGACTTTGGGGACCGGGTCTTTCTGGGACACGCCAGTGCCTTGTGGCGAGACAAGAGCAGTCGGGAGAGGTGGGGGGCTCCACGAAGGAGCAGCTGAGGACCCCCCCAGGCCCAGCCCCTCCAGGCAGGGTGGGGTGGGGCTGCCCCAGCGGCCCTGCTGGGGGGGCCGGGCGGGGGGCTGAGGGCGGCCTCTCAGCAGCGGGGCTTGTTGCTGGCCAGGCCCTTCCCTGCTGGCCTGAGAGCAGATGGTGATGCCCAGCTTGGGGGGGCTTGAAATGAGACCTGACAAGCTTCCTGCTTAGCTGGTGCCTGGTGCTGTGAGGGCCCCCACCGTGGGCCCACCCGGATGCCCCGCACCCCGGGCAGGGACCTGGCAGGAGGCTGAGCCCCACCGCCAGGCTGGGGAGACTCCGCCCAGTGCCCTCCCAGCAGGAGGCAAATTTCCCCAGAGGCAGGAGCGGGCACCCCGAGGAGGAGCAAGCAGTCGGCCCCCCTACTTTCCAAAGCAGCCTTAGGGGAGCCTGAGGGTGCGGGCTCGGGCCCCAGCGGCGAGGCGCGGGGGGTGGGGTGC